GACGATACCTCCCACGTTTGATGGGCGCAGTGCGTAGACAGAAGTTGGCAAAGCTTGAAAGCATGTTTAATGCCATAGGGGAGCAAAAGGGCTAGGGTTCACGGGCTCATCGCTGTATCTCCGACTTTCAATTTAAGACTTTTGCTGTGGCCTTCCTCGGAACAAGGCACTGAAGAATGCCAGTGAATTCAACTCATGTGTCATTAAAGTTGCTCAGGCCAAAAAGCTTTTCCAGAGGCAACAAAGACGGCTGGTGCTCCCACGGGAAAATGGAGCGATGAGTGCGGTTCGCGCACAGGCGACTCATTCGCTTTTGAGGTTTGCAAAGAAAAACAGACTTTCTTGGGGCCGTTAAATACATTCACTTTTTGGGCATCACAAAGCTCCAAAACATGCACACGGAGAAAAAACTAAAAAAAAACAGAGGAATCAAGTGAACCTGGCCCAGGGTCTTCCTGCTTTTTTGTGCCTGTGCATGTGTTGGAGCTTATTAAGTCAAAGTCTGGTTCTTTCCCCGGCTGCCTCTCACAGTCTCGCTCTCTCTCTGGCTCTCTCTTTAAGTGTCCAGCGTCAACATCTATACAGTTGCTTGTACTATACAGTATTATTTATACTCCAAGAGGGGAGCACTCATGGATCCAAGATTGCTCCCAAAAGTCCCCCAGCAATCTTCCCAGCAAACTTAGATCCAGGATCTAAATACCATATCGAAGACAGGAATTCAGGGAGGTCATTCATGGATCCAAGCTTGCCTCCAAAAGTCCCAAAAAAATACACACAGGCGTGCGTGCACGTGCAGCACGTCACCAACAAGTCTCGAACAATTCTGAGAAACGTGCTCTCTTGGCTTGCCCAGCGGCAGAAAGCTCCTGCTGCAAACGTTTCATTTGCTCCTGGGCAGGGTCTGCGTGCGATGGGTATCCTTGAAACCCAACCAGTTACCTGGTCAGAAGTGTGGAGCTTGCCACACCTTCCTTCTCTTGGGTATCTTGCTCTTTGCAAAACTCAGAGCTCCTCCACAAGCAGCCAGCCGTTCTCTTGCGGCATGTCCATAGATACGTCCTTTGTCTCGCCCTTTGCAGACGAGACAGTCAAAGTGGCTCGGCTGACGCCGGGAGTGCGCCGGAGCCGCAGATGGATAGCCATGCGTGTGCAGCAGCGAGCATTCCGCGGAAAGACCGGCAGCATGGCCAGCATCTCCAAAATGGTCGACTTGCCAGCGCTTTCCTGAACTAAGTTTGGAGCTGTTGAATCTTTGTCATGTTTGTCGCCGGGTCCAAAAGCATCAAGATACCCAAGGCAAAAGTTACCCCCAAGCACAATTCAAGGTTGTCGAATCAACATGGTCTCTTCTTTGTCGGTGGATCAAACCGCGCATGGCCGCGTGAACAACTATTGCAAATCTGTGCTCCAAAAGGTGGGAAAGCTCACAACTGCTGTTCCAGAAACAAATACTTGACAGCAATTAGCATCCACGCACCTGGGACCACTGACGGCAATCTTGGAAGAAATGTGTGGCACTCGACCTACAGTCAGCTGGCAGCCCAGCTGCAGGAGCAGGTAAGAAATCTAGAAAGAGGTATTCCTGCCGACCCAAAGCCGGCTGATGTTCAAACCTCTCTGACTCCACCGGACTTTCGTGCGCAGCAAATCCTGCCATAATGTCGACCTATGATTAAAAAACCTCCCCCGATTAAAGTTATGTTGCGGGCCGGCACTGATTAATAAACCCCCCGAAATGAAGTTATGTTGATTTTTTGTGTTTTTTGGCGGGGAATCTACACACACTCACAAAAACACACCAAACAACACACACACACACACACACCTCGCCTGCCTTAAAATTTCAGATCTACAAAAATACTAGCTCCCAAACTGCAAATTATTTACATACTCTTGTTTAAAAAGTGGCCCAGAATCAACCCTACAAGGGGGGTAGTACTTGGGGGTTTAAAAAAACAACTTGATTTAGAGGTTCCCCCTAAATATTTTTTTGGTTGCCCCCCCAAAACAAAACTCAACACGTGTTTGAAAAGGCTTTCTCAGTAAAAGGCTCAATCTTTAAAAGACTTCCCTTGAAACTTGCTCCCTATGATTTCAATCATATAGCTTTTGCAACCCCAACCAAAAACCCAGCTCTCAAACTGCAAATTCTTTACATACGCTTGTTTAAAAAGTGGCCCCCAATCAACCCCACAAGGGTAGTACTTGGGGGTTGAAAAAAACATTATTTAGGTGGCCCCCCTAAATAAAGATTCCTGGTTACCCCCCCCCCCAAAAAAAAAAAAAGAAGTGTCACCAGCAATACTAAATCAATTGGAATCCCAACAAGTCAAATCTCAAAAGAGGCTCCAGCAATACTAAACCAGTTGAAACTCAAATCTTTCAGCAATACTAAACCAATAGGAAACTCAAATCCCTCAAGTCAAATCTCAGAAGGAGGCTCCAGCAATACGAAATCAATTAAAAACTCAAATCCACCAATACTAAACCAATTGAAAACCCGAATCCAATCTCAAAAGGAGGCTCCAGCAATACTAAATCAATTGGAAACTAAACTGCAATCCAATCTCAAAAGGAGGCTCCAGCAATACTAAATCAATTGGAAACTAAAATGCAATCCAATCTCAAAAGGAGGCTCCAGCAATACTAAATCAATTGAAACACGCAAATCTGTCTGCAATACTTAGCAATTCATAATCAAGTTCAGAACACTTTTTGGGGAGGGAAGTTGTTTGGGGGGGGGGTTATTAATCAGAGGTAGACATTACTAATGATTTCGAGCACAGAAGCATCACCCACCACCACAATCTTGGGCACTTTCAGGCCATCCAGCGTCGAATGTAGAAGGTCTTCAACAGGATCCAGCTCCTTGAAGAACTTGCTCAATTCCTGACACATCTCCTTCCTGCTGATGGACTCAACATCCGAAGGCGCCAAAGTGACCTTCCGCTTTGTGTTGTCGGTCAGGCCACCATGCGTCCAAGCCAAAGTCACCTCCCTCACCCCATCCTTGAGAAAAGCCTTGAACTGCTGGATCACTCCTTTGAGGCAAATGTTCTCCTCCAACAGCTTTCCCATTCTCTCCCGAGTCTGCGGCGACACGTCCGAGGCCTCAAGCCATGTTTGGATTGCAGCGCGCTCGTAGTTGAAGCCGTCCTCGGCCTTGACAGGGTCCTCCATCAGCAGCCCTCTTATGGGGCAAAGCCAATCCGTGACCTGCGCTCGATTCGAAAGGCACGGATGTTCTCTCACACCTAAGACAATCAATGGATCCGGAAACTCTTCAGCCCGCGCTACAACCCGAGCCACGCGATACCGAAAGAACAGACACCGCGCCTCAGGGAACTTCCTTGCCACCTGCCGAAAGATGTCATCCAGCTGGGTCAGCTCAGGCGCCATGGGCTTCAAGGCAAGTGGACCGACAGCTGAGTTAGCTCCATATTTCGGGCGACGGCAAGGCATGGATCAGCTAAATGCCAAGCTGCTAGGTGGTTGCAAGAGAGCTTCACAGGCAGCAATCATGACACGCAACAAATTGGCGGCCAGCTTTTCTGCTGGTGAGATCCGATCACTGCGGCTCATGCAGGATGACCTTGTGACATCTTGAACTGCCATGAAAGCTCATAGCAATTTAGAACGCTTGCGCTGCACACCCTGTTTGACGGCCTCACGGGCGACGCCCACGGCCTCCTAAGTGCGAGCCATTGAACTGAGCCGGACAAGGCATCGCTTTCTGGCCAGCACCTCCTCCACGACCAGGGGGGCCACGCGGGGGACCACGCTGGGGCCCACGGTCTGGGCACGCAAACTTCGCGTGGCCAAGTGCAGCAGAATGCAAAAATGCATTTGGGCTAAGCATCTCTAAGCACATCAAAACACAAAATGAACTGACAAAAATACTTTTTCTGCGGCACTCCCGCGAAATGGCGTGGATCAGCCCCTTGCCTCGACCTCGGCCGCCGCCGCCGCCGCCTCCCCGGCCACGGCCAGCGGCACGTGCATCGTACTGCCGAGATTTGGTAAAGGAATGCGGGACATACTGTAGATGGACGAAATCCTGCACCACCCAAGAATCACTGGAATGATGATTCCCCTGTAATTACCAACCAGCACTGGTTTCCCTTTTTTAAAAGTGGTGCAGGATTTCGTCCATCCACAGTATTGGGCAGATGAGTCAAAGAGCCAACACGCCATGCCAGTGGAATCTGGGAATCCATGCAGTGGGTATGTTGTTTCTGCGGGCCACAAAGCGTTCCCCAAGAACAAAAACGAGGGCAAACCAGCAGACCGGCACACCATGGACCTCCTCCTCTAGGAAGTCGTCATCAAAATCGAAGTCTTCCTCGCCCTCGGCCTGAGATCAGCTTGCCCTGTTCATTTCAACAATTAATATTGAAACAATGTCCGAATTCTGCTGGAAGCTTCGGGGCCCACAACTTCTCCAGTCAAAGCATCCGGCATCTCCGCTAAAGATGCTCACGAACTGCTCGCGCTCCAGCCCTAGGCTCACAGCTTTCAGCCAACAAGTCGTCGCCCCACTTCAGCTCTTCTCATGCGGTGCCTGAAGCTCTCCGAGGCAGGCACCCAGGACTTCCAACAGCTGCGCCACGTCTCGAAAGCTCATGACGTTCTGCGCAGACGTTTGCGGACCCCCGGATCGGTCGAGCAAAGGGGTCGCGGGTCTCACGTTGCCACGTTCTGACCGGAACATGCACGAGCCGATACAGCGCCTTGCCATGATGTTCCTCAGACTGAAACTGTCCTAGGAGAGCCATGGCGATCTCATCCTGTCGTCGACAGATGCTGGCTGATAGCTTTATCACGAAGGTCTGATGCTCACGTCACGGCATGAATCCATTCTAATAGTGGAATTGAGTGGTTGCGTTTCCGTCCTGGCACACTCTGACACAAGTACATATTGCCGTATGTCCTTCTCCCAGCCATCAAGAACCTCCGGGGGAGGCCTTGAGCAGATAACTTCAGCGTCAGACAGCAATTGACGCTGAACTGGGTCAGCGGCCCATCAAGCTCCATATAGTCTCCATCCTCATCATCGTCGAACTCGTCGCCATACTGCACAGCCAGTTGTCCCACGCCCACCTTGCCTGTCTCAAACCTCAGGCAATGCCTCGTCCTCTTCGGAATACAGCAGCTCGTCATCATCGATGTCACGCGCCCTGGGCCTCGCCGCCTCCGATAGCGACGTTGAAGCGCTGGTCTACGACAAACTTTTGAAAGAGGCGATGAGACATAGATGCCAGATGGTATTCGCAAAACATATAAATATGCCAATGTGTTGCAAAGCTGCTCCTGCCCCCAGACACAACAGTGTTCCTGTCACGAATGTAATGTTCGTCATATGGGTGATTCGGGATACCCACAAGAGTTCCTTCGTTGGCGTAGTCCTGCCTTGTCTCTTGGCGGAGCAGCCTGCGATCACACGATTGAGTTGCCGACGGGCTAACAAACCATCGAGCAAGCTAAAAAAGGGAGTTCACTTTCTCATGATGTTTGCAGGTCCATTCTTCCCAATTCTGAGCAATGGTCCGTCAATGACCAGAACAGCCACACGTGGCCTGGCGTGCTGTCTGGCTGGCCTCGCAGCCCACGAAACAAATTCGCGCGCGCTTGTCTCTCTTGCCTTCGTGCCCACGGCACGCTGGGGGCCGAGGAACCTGAGCTCAATGGAAGCCCAATCCAGGCTTCGGTCAAGCGGACCTCACGTTGGGTAAGGCTCCGTGTGTAGATGACTTGTCCTTTTGGGTGTTTGGTATGGCCACATTCAGGACTCGGGCCATCTGTTGTCGAGCGATGTTGCTGAAAGCGAATCGGGCACAGTCTCTTTCGGCACCAGTTGTGTGCACAAGAGCGAAAAGGACCATGCGTGAGCTATGCATACAATGACAGTCCTGACTCTGACATTAGCGGAATGCTTGGCATGCCCCTGCAAATGCGTAAGCGTACCAAAGAAGTTAGTCTACGAGACACCTCGCTCTTTCTCAAAACAAGCTGTCCCCCACGTAACATGGTCTGCTTCTTGTTGTAAGCTTCATCACATTCATCTCCATGCCTGATCCTATCCTGGTTTGCTGGCAAGGTCACGGTGGGCGATGCGAAGCCTGGCAACACATTGTTGGGCTTGCTGCTGTCATTTACTCTCAAAACGGGTACTACACCCATGGTCCGGTCTGGCGGAATCCCAATGCATGCTCGTGGGTGAAGGTGTTGTCACCACTGGCAGCTGCGAAGGTTGATGAAGTGAAATTTATTCAATCACAAGTACTGTGTGCGCCTTCGTCTCCTGTCATGATAAACGTAATTCCGCACGTTAGGAATGATAAGTCTGTCTGAGTATGCTGGTGAACAACTCCAGGTGCCAACTCAGCAATGCCGTTGGGGCATTCAGCTTTGTGGCAAGAACTCTGAGGCTGCGGCGAGAGGGCACCTGCGGTCCAACTCAGGGAGGAACCCATGCAAACATCCAGACGGCAAGCATAGCTTCCTTCAGTGGCAGCGTGGCCCTACCTGTGGAACTCACGGCCAGCCAAACCTGAGGCAGTGAGACTAAAAGCGCCGGATCCTCTTATGCAGAGTGCTTTGCTGGGGCACTCTGCACATGCCCACACCAGGATCCGCGTCGATCTGGCCAGATCACTGAGATTTGCGCAGCACCTGCCAGGCAGAGCCAGCTGGCCTCGAAGGCAAAGCAAGGCGTGGCAAAAGGACCCAGCGATCCCAGTGCGTGCTTCAAGACGGAACAAACGGATACGCTCCTCCGCATGACTGTCTTGCAAAACTACGATATAAGAGCCTTACTCTCAGCAAAGACATGGCTCTCGTCAAAACTACCGCAGTCTTGCTAGAACGGCTGCGACTGGCAAAGCCGTGGATTTCATGGACGAAAGTGAAATCAAGGAACTGAAGGCCCCTCGCCTTCAGGCAACAAAATATTGAAATTATCCAAGCACTGGCTGGCACTTTTGCGCAAAGGCGTTCACCCCAGCTGCACCAATGAGGGAATCGAAAGTGAAACACTTCAAGCCACCAATTGTACCCTAGGAATTCGCTAACACGTCCGGCGCCAGAGGCGCTCATCTCAAAAAGGCTGTAAGCTTCTGCAGCTTCAAGTAGATGACGAAAACCTCAGCCAAAAGCTGCTGAAGATCAGTCTGCGGATCCGGCAAGCCATAAGCGCAGCAAAGCTGCCAAAGTGATGAACAGAACAATGGCCAGACACCAGACCATGGCCTGCGGAGACACTGAGATACGATTTAAGCAAGTGTAGCACAATTGCAGGCGGTTACATGCAACTTCTTTTCAGACATTTGCCTCGTGTCCAAAAAGCATTTCCTGCAAATCGACAGTGGCCCTTCCAGCCAAATTGGCCATCGCGCCACCCCCCCCCCCCCGACGCCTGGTTTCCCTGCACTCGTCTGGACATTAGATTCAGAAACATCTTCGAGGTGCCCAGGTGGCCGTCCACGTCGTTCAAGTGACCCTGCGAAGGGCTTGGGACGCGAGCGCACGGCCTCGGGGCGGGGGTTAGCCTTCGTGCGCTTCAAGGAGTCCCGCTGGTCGTGCAGCTCGGACATGACGTTGAGACCGATGGCCTCAGCCTCCGAAGACACCGCGGAGTCCACGGAGCTCGATGACACCCGCGCCTCCAGGGCGGTGCGCCTGGAGTCCTCAAGCCGTCTCGCGCCCGCCCGGAGCCGGTTGGCGCTGTCACGTTCTGCCTGTGAAAAGCGAAGCGAAGCAAAGCGCCAACGTCAAAACACCCCAGGCCTTCTCCTCGTCCCTGGGCGCCTGCCCTAGAAGACCTTCCGGTCCAGCGGCACTCTATCTCTGTTCCCCCGACGCTCTGGGAAGCAACTGATGGAAACACCTGCGGCCAGCAGAAAGTAGAACTGCTGCCGAAGTGGCACCCATGAAGCCAATGGAGTTGCCGGCACACAGTGGAACCCTAGAATGCATGGTTCTCCTTTGTATTCCCTGCAAAACACGCAAACAAGACCATAATACCCAAAGCGCGTACGATGCTTGATACGCTGGCCCGCAGGCCAAATATCAATGTCAGTCTTGCTCCAATCGACTGCGGCATCTTTGCTTAAGCGCAGTAGCTCCACCCAAGACTACGCAAGCGACTCCATTCACTCAGACCGTCGAGGTAAAAACTGCAAAAGGCACCAGGCACTTTGCAAACGTGACGCTACCTGTCAATTTGAGGAGTCCTTCATTACCAAGTGTTCTGGCAGGCTTTGGTGGAATGACTTACAGCCTCTTCTTTCAACTTGGCGATCAAAGAGTCTGAGCTCCGTGCCTGATTCCGGATGCACCGCAGATCTGTATGGGGAAGGGTCAGTTGGGCGGGGCCCGGCAAAAAGGGAAAACGATGCATGCCCCTGTAAACCAGACTGCCTTCCTTTCCCGTTCCGCAGGATTCCGGGGGCCTTCACGCTGAAGTCGTGCTTGCACATTTCGCACCAAGGTCCTGCTATAATGCCCAGTGAGTGCTAGTAGGCAGGGGGATCGAAAAGAACTCTGCGAGTCAGGCAGGCAAGCACTCTGGCACGTTAGATACATCGACACTACGTTTCCTGCAAGCCAGCATCTCCTGCTTGTACTCCTTCCTCAGTCACGGTTGAATGAGGACAAACAACATGGTTGGCAACAGTAAGTGCTTGAAAGGCGTTTGCGCCAAGAGTACAATGATTGCGCAAGAGCCGCGATATGAACTGAGTCCTGGGCAGCTTCCCGGACAAGGCCGCCTCAGCTGTTGCCCTGGCCCCCCTGTCCTTGAGCCGAAGCGGCCTAAGGTCGCAGCTCCCAAAGGCCCCATGGACTTCACTTCGAACTCCATCTGCTGAAAAGCCTCGACCAATGCGTCCGAATGCGTCCGTCGACACTTGCTTTGCTCCGCAAGAGCGCACCCGCCTGCTTGGCGCGCTCGTGCGCTTCCAGCATCTCCGACCTCAAAACCCGCGTGCTCGAGATACTCCGACCAACTCAACGCGTCAGAGCCCGGGCCCCGCAGCACCTCGCTCAGCCACTGCTCCTCCTGGCCGATTCACTGTAAAGTTCAGCTTGGAAGGGGCTGCCCGTTCAAAACGTCGCCCAGAAGTGATGGCAGAAGCCTTGCCTTCCACCACAGCTGCCAGAGCTCGCAGCCTCTCGATCCTTGAAATGCATCTGGACTTTGTCGGCCAAGCAATGCTAAAACTTTGTGTGCTCCGTGCTGTACATGGGACAGCCCTTGGCCCTTGATGCTTCTTGCTGCTGTACATGGCAGTAACTCAAACTGGGAAGCGGCACAGTCGATGGTAGTCTTCCTGCCGCGCTTGTGGAAATAGCGTCTTGCGGTCAGTGCAGCTATGTCCTCATAGGACTGGAAGACCTCTGAGGTGGTCACCACAGACTGGAAGCCTTGGGCGAAGGGCAACGGAGAAACCAACTCTGCATGCCCCGGAGTGGAATCGATCCAAAGCTGGTGCCTTTCACTTGTGCGCCAAGGGCGCGGCCACGAGCAACGTCCATATCCTACTCCATCTTTAGAGACCAGGTGGTCCAATGTTTCCGGCGAGTGGTTTCTTGCGTCATGTTGGGCTCATTTTGCTGCGCCGACTTTTGTGCCGCATGGTGTGCCTTTCTGGCTTGTTGGAAGCGTGGGGATGTCAAGAGCTGGCCTTGACGACTGAAACACAATCCTGCCTGTGTGACCCAAAGCACAGCGTTGGCATCGCAATTATGAGGATTGTCCCTTTTGCAACCTTCATAAGCTACTTCCATTCGAGCAACATATGCGCATGTTCAATGTGAATCGAAATGAATGCAATTGTTCATCTTCTTCATGCTTGCCCCTACCGTGGAGATGCTCGCCCTCAGATTGAAACAAACTCATCCATGCCCCCAACCAGTTGTGTCAAAACCAAAACCAAAACCAAAGCCTACAGGTATTGAAAGACAACGCCAACCAAGCAAGAGATGGCCACCGCCAAGCTGCCGCATCAATTCAGCGAAAACAAAAGGATGCAGCGGATTGCGCAAATTGCTGTTGCCACGCTTGAATTAAATGTCCTTGCGCAAGATCGCTCAGCTTCACTGCCGACGCAGAACTGACCCTACCATCGTCTCGGAACAAAGCTCAACTCATATTGGATGACGCTAAGTTAAGTTTCTCCGAACTCGTTGGACGGGAATGATAACCCACGAAAAGGGCCCCACGGTTTAAAGTCAAAGTCGAGGCGTTGAAGCAAGAGCGTGCCTTTTTTCCGCGGCCTCTGTCCTGAGGAAAACTTGTGCAAACCCACAACACCCAAACACGGCTGTCAGGGGCACGACTGGGTAACTGGGTATCTATTCGCCCAGTCTCCGCTCTAAAAGCTCTGAGGCGTCTGCGCTCTAAAAATATCTGAGGCGTTGGATGCTGGCTGCCTTTCAGCTCGAGGATGTGCTCGGACTGCAGGGGCATCCGATAGAAGGCAAAGTCGTAAATGTCTGCAAAGGCTTTTTCAGTCGATGTCACCAGGTGGTCCTCGTTGAAGTAAATCCAGCTCATGTCATCGCACGTTTTCTCCCGCTTGCCATCCTTAAAGATGTGGAACACCTTGTTGCCGGTGTCAATGACGAAGGCCATATGAAACCAGGTTCCTTCATCAAAGCTGAAGCTCTCGCCCTCGCAGGGATCTGAGCGATCCCTCTCTATGCCCAGGTCTATGTACAGGCCATGGTTTGGGCGATAGCCCATGCAGTTGAATGTGTCGCCTGTCCTGCTGGCGCTTATTGTGAGAATGGGATGATATTCCAATCTCTTTCGGATGTGCACCCAAGCCTTTATTGAATAACCAAGGAAATTCTTCCAGCCAAGCTTGACTTGCGATTGCGTGCCCCAATACTTGACATCCTTCTTGGCATAAGATAGAAAGGACACTGCTCCATCTGGACTGGGTTGGCGTGGCATCTCGCCTTTATCTCAGCCAGGGTGAGCAATCGAGTGTAGATGGCAAGGTTGTGCAGGTCACCTCTGGATCTGTCTGTGCTTGAGACAGACCACAAGCAAGTTGTCCGTGAGCCCGTTCTCGATTCCGCCGGAGTTCTTTTCCATCTTGCCGTCCCTATACATGTACGCTCTTTTCTCAGTTGGGTCATAAGACCAAGCGAAATGAGTCCACCATCCTTGATCAAACCTGTTGTAGCCGCCTTTGCAGTAACTCCCCTTCGGGTCCTGCAAATCGAAGAAAAGGCCCTGACCAGCCCTTGCTCCCAGCCCATCGTTTGTGTTGCCGTCCTCGACGGTGCTGATGGAAAACATGGGATGATGGCCCCCCAGATTCCTTCGAATGTGCGCCCAACCCATGAATGTAAAAGGCTTTTCCAACAAGCCAAGGCTTCCAACGGTGCCCCAGGTGTGGTACTGGCGGTCATCGTAGGACAAGGGCGTTGTCTCGAACATATCTGGGATGGTTTTGTTGGTCTTCAGGCACCGGGCCCCAATGGGCAGGCATGCTTGTCCTGTGACTCCACATAGAACTGCATAGTGCTGGCCATGGTGTGGGTATGCCTTGCAGTGGCACCTTGGATGCACCCCAGAACTCCAGAACCCCGGAATCAAGACGTACCACCCACCACCTCTGACCTAACCAAACAACCCAACACCGACGCTTCTGGTCTGCAATTTCATCCCACTGCTCAAAGGACCTGACGAAAGAGAGTGATGTTCAATTCTTGCTGTGGCAAGCTTAGATGGAATAGATGAAATTCTAGGGTGGAAAGAACAATACGTCAGCGGCAGCTGAACAAGTCCCTTTGCACTGGTCAGATCTCGCGAAGAACTACTTGTCGCAAGTGCTTCAAGCTAGTGCTGAGCGGGCTCAGTGTAGCGGGGGTAGGGTATGACATGATCAAATGATGTATGTATATACAGCGCTGAGCGGGGTGACTGTGGCGGGGTTCTCACTATGCGCGGGCGTGTGCATTGCTGAGCTGGCTGGCTATGTGCAGGCGTGTGTGCAGTGCAGTGCAGAATCGCAGGCGGTTGTTCTCTCTTGGGAAATAGAGACACATGCCCCAATTCGGCAAAAAACTCAAGCATTTGGACCATGGCCATCTACCCACGCCGAGCCTGGCAGAACCCAGGACGTGTGTTGATTGCACCCCGAGAGGCACTCTTCCAGTGACAAAGCAGTGCAATCCGTGTGCTCCACCATGCCACCCTCGCAGTTGGGCAGGTCTTCATGCGGCCCATGGTGATTCATGGCCCAAATCGCCGCAAGGTTCAAAGCGGCGAACTTCCTCAGCGAATCAGCTAAGCCCTCAGACGTTCGCTAGCAAAACACAAGCATTGTCCAAACTACGACATACAAATATGGATAAATCTCGAGGTGGCTCGTCATAGGCTTCATTGGCGTCAGGAGAATGAAGAAGCTGAAACGGCTGCAAATGGTCACCCACTTCGCGGGCCGGTTTTGAGGCACAAAACGTCAGCTGAACCCTAAAGGAAGCTGTTGCTTGCAAACCTGCCACTTGAGAACGCCTCGTCTTTGCTCCGAAAGGTGCCTTAAGCTCCGCTGTGTGACAGAAGGAATCCAGTCAAATGAGCCATGTGTGGCCAGTTCTGAGCTGTCCCTTTGTCTTACCACTTGTCCTCCAAGTTCTTTTTCCCCCCCGGCGGCAGGTCACTGTCACAGTCACCTTCCCTAGGAGTGAGCGTACGCTCACCACTACAAGGACGCCTGCGAAGCCAACAGGAAACATGAAAGCAAGAGCATGAAGGTTACGGTTTGCAAGAACGCCTCCTCTGGCCTCAAACTGTGCGGGGTAAATATTAGGTTCTGTTTTGAGTCCACTGTCCACCCCTGAACCCACAACAAATATCCGGCTTTAGTTTTGGAGCCCAACATGAAATTCGCATGTCACGTGGTGCAACTTGTGTCAACACCGGAGCCTTTGCTGTTGCAACAAAGTGTGTCTGCTGTCAATCGAATACAGCCTTTTCCCCCTAGACAATGAAACAAATTGAAGTCTGCTTTGGGTGGTCAACGCCCTTCGTCCACAGGACACCCAAAGGTATGACAAATCAAGAATGCGTTCCATTCAAAGATGACAAATTGCTCACACCGGGTGTCCAGGTGAGCTACTCTCTCTCTTCAAATTTGTTCACAAATCTGTGCAACTGGGCGCCAGATGCACTGATTTGATGAATTAGTTGCTCCCTTCCAGCCCATTTCAGACCACAAGGAGGGAGGCACAAAGGTGCAAACATGCGACTACTAGCTGCCCGCGTGTTGGGAATTCAAGCCGCTTGACCAGACTTTGACCATGCTATGTCACATCAATTCGACGAGTACAACAGCTCGCTGGACAGCTGGATAGGAACCGCTGAGCCAGTATGGACATGGCCGGCATTGGCGTTGATGCCAAGCACATCCGGCACAAAGAGCCCCAGAGAGCCCCAAAGAGATGCTGAAACCGTCATGTCCAAAAGTACGCAAATCTGAGCAAAGGCCAACAGCCCAAAGCGACTGAATATCGCCCGTGAAACTCTCGGGCGAGCACCACACCGTCTTCCGGCGGGTTGGACAGAATGCCCTCCGAATCGATGTAACGTGGAAACTCCATGAAACAACCACAGCAGCATTGATCCTGGGCTTGTGAGCGCAGCTCTCCAACTATTCATTGGCTGCGAAGCCTCAGATTGTCTCGCAGGTGTGCTGCATGTCAATTTATGTTCAAGCTGGCTCATTGCAGACATGCCACGAACATAGCCGGACAGCATCTCTAAAACCTCGCCGTCTTCAGGATCTTCCTGCAGCATCCGCACCTTCACTGTCACCTGCAACAGCTTGGATCTCGAATCAGAAACGCAGGCGCAGGCTGCTCCACATTTGCAGGTTGTGCGCACTCTGCAACAACTCCATGAGTGAGGCCTCTGGTGACTGCAGCGGCGTCTGCTCAGGTTCCTCAGCCTTTGGCTCGGGCTTAGCCGTCACCGCCGGCTGCTTTTCACTCTGTGCTTGATCTGCCTTGGGCTCTTTGTCCCGGGCCTTGGAGCGTGTGCCAACTTTGTGCCACAGACCCCAAAACCCCAAAACCCCAAAATCCCAAAATCCCCCACCCCCGCCTTGGAAGGTGCCCCGCCCTCTTTGGCATCATCTGCCATGCGCTGTCCTGGCACCTCCTCTGCCGCCTCAACGGCATCCTGGAAAAGTTGCAGAAGTGTCCGAATCAGTCCATTCTTTTGTCATATCGAAGTCCTGCCCAGCTTAAGTCGTTTGCACTTGGCTAAAATAATGTTCTTACCGGCTGCCTCCACGACCAGCGCTTCAGCCCAGCCAAGCAGCCTCAAGGCTCAGACTGTCACCAGAGTTTGGCATGGCACACTGTCGCACGCTCCGACAGAGTGGACACTGCAAACGTTCCTTTTCTTCAAAGCCAGAGCTGTGGCTCGGTGAAGAGGTCCTCTTGTTAACAATCTGAACATGTAGCATCACGATAAGAGACCTGCTTGCCGGAAACAAAACCACACATTGCGAATATCATGGCAACCCATGGTCACTAGGCCGCAAGGTCAAAGGATAGGCTGGAATGTGCCTCTCAGCATGGAATCTTGGCGCACCTCTTACCCAATGGGCCATGCTGGCTCAATGCGGCTCAAGGCACGGCCCGAGGTAGACGCGCACGCGATCAGAGCTGTTGAAGTGCCGCCTGGCGGCGGGGGGACACTCGATCCATTTTAAGGCCGCCAATCATTCTAAGACAGGATAGGGTGAATTTGAAAACTGCAAGTATATCCTACAATACAGTGTATGCGGTGCACAACTGCTGGCAAGCACGCTGTTCCTTGCAATTGGGAAAACAAGATGGCGTTTCGCTTTATCTCCGTAGACAAAAGAGGCAGAGCCTGCCTCAAGCGTCCAGCCACCGAGCTTGGATTCTTCTCGCCCTTCGTTTCACCCAACGCCTCCAAGCGATAACCCAACCTGAGGAAGCGTGGATCGGATGTTGGCGCCCCTTCTCGGTCTTGCAGCTCAGTGACATGTGGGAATCGCCCACGACTCCGCTGATCTTGACAGAAATCCATTTGGAGTCTGGCACAGAGAAGAAGCCTCCGGCCCATGGCAGAAATGAGAATGAAAAGGAGCGACGTGATGCACGGACAAATTTCGATTCGGTCAGAGTCAAGCCGGTTCAAAGGACCACAAAGCCACGGCCAGGCCTGCAGGCTCCCCCGGCTGCAGCACTGGCCGCAGCTGCTCCAGCGGAATTCGATAGCCTCGGATGCCATCGCATGCCATGACACAGCGACGACCAGCGCTATGTCATCTTTCACGATAGCTCCTTTGACTCTTTCGGTGCAGCTAAGCATCGGCGTTGTCGACCAACGCGGATGTGGTAAGACGGGTTGCCTTCCTTACACAGCCACTGTGAACTCTAAGTCAGAATCTTGCAGGGCCTCGCAACTACAACTACACAAAGCCAGGCAGCTTTGTCAAACTGCCCGCTAGAGGTAATGACGGCTGCAGTCCAAATGCCATTCCTTGGCTTGTCAACAATCTGGCAAAAACTGTTTCCAACAAGCGTGTGTTCCGAAAATGAGAGGCTTAAGAACCGAAACCAACCAGAAACATGCCATCAAAACCTCTCAGCTATGCTGGACGTCGATTTGGAGAAGTACTCTACGGACTCCTGCAGCTCGTAGGCATCCTGTCAGCTCAAACGGCTGCATTTCAGACTGAGGCGCAGAGGTCCCGCAGGTCGGTCTGTTCAGTCGTTCCCCGCCTTGCGCAAGCCGAAGGTGCCGGGAGAGAGCCTTGATGCCAGGCCTTCCCAGCTCAAAGAAGCATCACCCCGTTCGTTTCGAGTCCAAGACACCAACCAAAGACCTTTGTCAACGTTTCTCAAATGTTTTTTGTTTTTTTCGTTCGCCGTTTTCGTCGTTTGCGAATCAGCATCCCGCCTGCAATTCGGCTGCGCCAGTGGCTGGGCTTCATCTCCACAGGCTTCTGGTCCCTTGGTCCTCTCAGTTTCCTGGCGCGGGTCGCGTCAGTCGCGTCTTTACGTCTCTACGTCACTCGCTCGCGTCACTCGACTGAGCTCCGTTTCGACACAAACGCTGTCGTGTGTGTGTCGTGCTCGTTTGCGTCTCCTGGCCTCTTGGGCGACGCCTTGGCTGACACGCTGGCCTCTGAGACCGCGGAAGCAGAGCGCTTCGGCGTCTTGTCCTGGCGAAGCCCCGAAAGTTCCCAGAAAACGAACACGCTGAGCCTTCCAGTGGCCTTGGCTTTCCTTTCTTGTATGCAGAAATGGTTCTGGCACAATGCACTGCCCAGGAAAGTCCATTGATCGATTGTGTGGGGCTCTCCTTTGTGCATCTATTTCAGGCTGGAGGGTGGGCCTAGCATCCTTTCCCGACTGAAGGGTTAGGAAATGCATGGTGAGTAGCAAGGGTATGATCTTCAATTTCGAGTATCTGCACTCGGCACTTGAAAAAGAATACTGTCCCCACACCCAACAAGAATGGTCCTCTCCCACTGTCGTGAGCATGACCTGCAAGCAAGCAAAGAGGTTGTCGGCCGGCGGACTGGTCTGAGTATGTCTGAGTGCCGGACCCTTCCAGTGGAAGTGAGGCTGCGTCCGGAGGCGCGGGGATCCACGTTCCAGGACACCACAGTTTTCTGCGCGGCAGTACGGAGAAAGCCAACTGTCTGTGTATCATGCACGGTGAAGCCTTAACCACATTGAACCAAAGCAGCAATGCTGTCTTCCACAATGTGAGTGCCCCTATGGCCACTCACAATTACCCATGTAAGCCACAAACGCTGGCTTGATCCATCTTCAAGCGCTCTCTAAGCAAGCCAGACCATACTTCATGTCTTGAACACCTTGACGAAGCCCAAGTTTGGAGCTGTGCTGGGATGCTGGTGCAAGTTTAGTTCAAGCTTCAGAGATTGAGCCATGGTAAGTATAACATGCACGTAAGGGCAGACATGTCGAGGTGCGTCAGCTTGTTCTGCCGCGCGGAAGCCTCACCTTTCCATTGGCTACCCACACCCCCTCCAACTCTAAATGGCAGGAAGTTCAGGGTGGATGTGCATGTCTTGATTGCTCCAGGGGCCGAGCTCCAGTTCACTGCAGAGCAAGTTCGTGCTGTGGAGTGAGGTGCCGGGAGGATGGATTAGATAAGACTGAGAAAGCATTCCGTCAGCGGTTGATGTGGACATCTCCAAGGCCGAGCAGCATCTCCCGTACGCCCCAAGCACGTACCCCTCAAAACCTCCAACAAAGCCCAGGGGAGACTGAGACAGTCGCTGCATCAACCAAACAACTAGCTGGACACGAGGGTGTCTGGCGGGCGCCTCTTTCGTGCTTTTCCCACCTGGGCGCATCCGATGCATGCAAAGTCTGACTGCCGGAGGAAAATGAGTGCTCTTAACCCTTTGCTGTCAGAACAAAAGCGACGTGCGTGGCATCCAGAACAATATGCCGAGCTGCTAGACGATGCCAAGCATTCAAGCACACTCACCAGCATCAATCTCAACCCAGAACAAAAGTGCTAAGATGTCAAAACCTGATCAACCAGCATGTCAATTCAGCCATACACCGGTTTTCCACAGAATAGCAAGATGTCATGTCAAGGTGTCAAAAAAAAGGTGTCTGACAACCGTGAATGCTAGTGTACGTAAAAAAAAAAACCAACAGAAACAACCTTGAGAGCACATCAGTCTTGCTTGACCTGCTCTGCAGCAGCCTAACCCCCTGCAGCATCCGGCACATTTCTCGGTCAATCGCCGGCAGCACCCTGCAACAGCACCCTGTCACCTCTCAGTCACACTAGCACCCAGCTTCTGCGAAACTTTCAAGCTCTCCAGCGACACCCTGCAACAGCACCCTGTCCAAAAGCATCCTTCCAAGAATGTTTGCCCCCCCCACTTGCAGTGGAAACCTCTACAGCTTTCAGCTATACAGGGAAGAAAAAGTAAACATTTGTTTATTCAAGAACATTCCTCCAAGAATGCTCGGCATGAAAGGCAAGGAAAGCACATGCCTAGAGACATAGAGAGGAGGGAGAGAAAAAGACAAAGAGACACAGAGAGACACAGAGAGACACAGAGAGACACAGAGAGACACAGAGAGACACAGAGAGACACAGAGAGACACAGAGAGACACAGATGCGAGAAAGAGTCAGAGAAAGAGATAGAGAACGAGAAAGAGACAGAGAAAGAGACAGAGAGAGGGAGAGACAGAGAGAGAGAGAGAAAGAGAGAAAGAGAGACACAGAGAGAGAGAGAGAGACAGAGAAAGACACAGAGAGAGAGAGAGAGAGAGACGGCACTGCAGTGCCTTGCCCTCTAAAACAGCAGCAAGAATTGACCCTCCAAAACCCAACGAAAATCTAGAAGCGTTGCAATCTAGTTGCATAAGCTGCAGCCTGCCTCTCTCCTGGCAGAAGCTTGGTTCGTGGCTTAATTCCTACCAAGGAGCTTTCTATAGTGCCTGCTGAGGCTGTCGACTTCTTTGCACTAACCTGAGCGCGGAAGTGGCGCAAGCAATGGCCCGCAAATACAAAGCAAATCGCAGTCCTCTGGAAGAAAGCAAAACGTGACTCACTCATTGGCAAGCAAAGCCTCACAAGTTTCAATCAAAGGGATCTTGGCTTCAGTGGAAATAACACGGAAGCACCAATCCACTTTCCAAGGCGTGCAGCTGCTCTCCCTGCCTCTGCAGCACTCAGACTCGCTTGTGAACCTGGTCCGCAATCATGAGCCAAAAAGCGTTGCATTGAATCTACATAAAGCTGCGCGCGCGCGAGCACGAGCGCTTGCGTGTGCGTGCATGTGGGTTGGCGAGCGGGTGTCTGCGTGTGTGGGTGTGGGGGTGTATGAGTGTGTCTGTGCGTGTGCGTGTGCGTGTACGTGTGCGTGTGCGTGCGCGTGCGCGCGCGCGTGCGCGTGCGTTTGCAGCGCGTTTGCGCGTGCGAGTGCGCGTGCGCGTGTGCGTGTGCGTGTGCGTGTGTGGGTGTGCGTGTGTGTGTGTGGGTGTGTGTGTGTATGCTTGTGTCTGTGTGTGTCCGTGTGTGTCTGTGTGTGTGTGCCTGTGTGGGTGTATGTGTCTGCGTGTGTCTGTGTGTGCGTGCGTGTCTGTGTGTCTCTGTGTGTGTGTGTCTGTGTGTGTGTCTGTGTGTGCACACGGGTTGTCCATGCGCGTAGATATGGGTGTACTGCGCGTGTGCGTTTGCATGTGGGTGCGGGTGTGTGTGTGTGTGTGGTTGTGGTGTGTGTGTGTGTGTGCGTGTGCGTGTGCGTGTGCGTGTGCGTGTGCGTGTGCGCGCGCGCGCGTGCGTGCGTGCGTGCGTGCGTGCGTGCGTGTGTGCGTGTGTGCGTGTGTGCGTGTGTGCGTGTGTGCGTGTGTGCGTGTGAGTGTGAGTGTGAGTGTGAGTGTGAGTGTGAGTGTGAGTGTGAGTGTGAGTGTGAGTGTGAGTGTGAGTGAGAGTTTGAGTGTGAGTGAGAGTGAGAGTGAGAGTGAGAGTGAGAGTGAGAGTGAGAGTGTGTGTTGTGTGTGTTGTGTGTGTTGTGTGTGTTGTGTGTGTGTTGTGTGTGTTGTGTGTGTTGTGTGTGTTGTGTGTGTTGTGTGTGTTGTGTGTGTTGTGTGTGTTGTGTGTGTTGTGTGTGTGTTGTGTGTGTTGTGTGCGTTGTGTGGGTGGTGTGTGTGGTGTGTGTGGTGTGTGTGGTGTGTGTGGTGTGTGTGTGGTGTGTGTGGTGTGTGTGTTGTGTGTGTTGTGTGTGTTGTGTGTGTTGTGTGTGTTGTGTGTGTTGTGTGTGTTGTGTGTGTTGTGTGTGTGTTGTGTGTTGTGTGTGTTGTGTGTGGGTTGTGTGTGGGTTGTGTGTGTTGTGTGTGTGTTGTGTGTGTTGTGTGTGTTGTGTGTGTTGTGTGTGTTGTGTGTGTTGTGTGTGTTGTGTGTGTGTTGTGTGTGTTGTGTGTGTTGTGTGTGTTGTGTGTGTGT